TGGCGCACGCCTTTAATCCCAGCACTCGGGAGGCAGAGCCAGGCGGATCTCTGTGAGTTCGAGGCCAGCCTGGACTACCAAGTGAGTTCCAGGAAAGGCGCAAAGCTACACAGAGAAACCCTGTCTCGAAAAACCAAAAAAAAAAAAAAAAAAAAAAACAAAAAAAAAACAAAAACAAAAAACAAAAACAAGTAATTTTTTTTTCTGCAAATATGGCTCATGTCTAAAGCCAGATGTGGTGGCACCTGCCTGAAATTCCAGCACTCCAGAGGGTTAGGCAGGAGGATCAAGAGTTCAAGGCTAGCCTGGGCTACCTTGAAAAACAAAATGAAACACAACCTACTGTGGCTGACATCTAAAGCACCACCCAACACACCTCACCACTGAGAACCTCTTTGGTAGAAGTACGGGTAGAGATCCAGAACTTCGCTTCATCTGGACCACACGCGCCTCTGCAAAAGCAGCTTCAGGTAATGAGAGAGAGAAGTCACCTCTGCTGCATGGTAAGAAAGGCCGGAAGGGCCAGATCAGGTGTATGCTCAGAAGGGTCACCTCGCAGACAGGGCATTGGAAGGAGGAGACTGGGAACCAGCGGACACCTCAGCAAGCTGCTCTGCTCTGGAGCTACAGATGACCAGGGCCAGCAGAAAGAGAGGGGCTCGTGGGGAGGAGGGGGTGTCTTAGACTTTGCTAAGTTTGCTAAGGGTGACTAAGACTACAGAAGGACAGATATGGACGGAGCAGGGTACTCAGAAAAGAAGATTCGAGGATCAGACAGAAATGACAACTTTGAAACGCTGGTAGTAGGGTAGGGGGATGAAGCAACGGCAGTGAGCAGAAGAGGAAGATGCTGGGGAGAAATCAGCTCCACCTTGGGGTAATCAGGAGAGCATCCAGACTGCGGACCTCCTGGCTCTTGGCTGTATGTGTCCAGACTTGAGAAGAGAGTTAAGGGTTACAGACAGACATGGGAAGAAGTGCAACAAGCCACTGCAGGACAGTACAGCTGCTATGGGAATAATACAACGCCACTATGAACACTATGCCAGGTCTAGAAGCTCTGCATTATTAAGTAATAATAATAACAACTTAATAATAGTAGCAGTAATAACAACAACAACAAAGTCCACATTCTGCCCTCAGAGGCTCACATTCTAGAAAGCGAGCAGCCAAGGGTGAAGATTCTAAAGACAAAATGTAACGCGTCAGGGACTCAGGGTGCACATGTGGAGGCATGTGTGCCCTTCCACATCAGGGGTCAGGGGAGGTCTCACCTGGAAGGTGACATAGGAGCCGAAACTGGAAGGATTCAGAGAGCAGACTTGGGAAGGCAGTCCAGACAGTGACAGACACAGCAGCAGCAGCTGCAGCAGCAGCAGGGGCAAAGGCCCATGTTGTTTGTTTTTTGCTCTTTTGGGGGGCCTGCCACCCAGCTCCCAAATAAATCACACACAGAGGCTAATTCTTACTTATGAATGCCGGCCTTGGCTTGGCTTGTTTCTAGCCAGGTTTACTTAACTTAAATTATCCCATCTATTTTTTATTTTTATTTTTATTTTTTTGCCTTTGGGCTTTCCCCATCTCTTCTATAAATCTTACTCTTACTCCGTGGCTTGCTGTGTAGCTGAGTGGCTGGCCCCTGGAGTCCCCCTCCTTCTCTGGCTCTTTCCTTTTCAATTCCCTTTTCCAAGATTTTTCCTTCTATTTATACTCTCTGCCTGCCAGCCCCACCTATCCTTTCTCCTGTCTCAATATTGGCCGTTCAGCTTTTTACTAGACCATCCAGTGTGTTAGACAGGCACAGTAACACAGCTTTACAGAGTTAAACAAATGCAACATAAACAAAAGTAATACACCTTAAGGCAATATTCTACTACAGGCCCATGCTTGGGACATTAGGGAAAGAACAAGGAGGCCAATGGGCTGCAGGGCAGCGGCAAGAGGAGCGGGGCAGTAAGAGGTGCTCAGTGGGAGCTGAAGAGTATAGTCTTCCCATTATTCTTCAGTTTCTATGCTGGGCAAGTATGGTGACAGATGACTCCACAACTTGGGGGCTGAGAAACTGGAAGGATAGAGATGGCATTAACTGTTAACTGCTCATATCTAAGCTCAGGACACATTAGTGGACAGCTGTGAGGACAGCTGAAAAGGCAGCAGCATGGTGCGTGGGAAGTAGAGACAGGTTGGAGGATCTGCCTGTGGTGATCTGTCATCTCCTGCTTCAGCAGGAGCTGCACACCTGCCTTGTGCCTGGGTGGCAGCCCTGTGCAGGACAGGCCCAAGGGCTGGGTTCTGTGAGAAACAGAAGGAAGGAGGTCACCACACAATGACCAGGAAACATGCACAGACACTAATGGGAGTAAAGGCAAGAAATGAGGGGACAGAGTTTAAATACCCAGTGAAGGGGAAGAAGTCGCTTCATCCAGTGTCCTGACCCACATACATACATTCTTAGCCACATAGCCCACTGATTTTCAACCAAGCAAGGATTTTTACAGTTGACTACTTAAAATGCAAGTAACGTCTGAAGGGTTCTCCAATTTGCCCACCAGGGAAATGGATGGAGGATGCTGGTTTCCTCTTGCTGAACTCATATCAGCTGCTCTGCAGACAGTGATGCATGCATGTGGAGGTCAGGGGTCAACCTCAGGTGTCTTTCCTCAGTAATGCTGTCTGTCTTGGTCTTTTCCAGACAGGATCTCTCACTAGGCTGGAGCATTCGCCAAGTAAAGACAGACTGGCTGGCCAGTGGGTGTCACTGATCCACCTGTCTCCGCCTCCTCAGTTCTAAGACCATACGTACTGAATGAGTACTTAGGAGTACCGCACCACTGTGCCTGGCTTTTGACTTGGGTCCTAGAAAGAGGCAGGGGAATGCAGGTCCTCCTGTGTACACAGCTATCTGCCAACCCAGCTAGCTCCTCTGCCCCATCACACGGCACTTATTAAGCTGTTACTCCACGTCAGGCACCTGCTCAGTACTTTACATCCATAGCTCACAACAGCCCTGTGCGACAAATGCCACAGTTGTGCTCACTCAACAATGGAGTGCAGCTGGGTGAGCCTGGGCAAGATGATCGCGGGACTTCCTAAGAGGGAGGTGCGGAAAGGAAGCTCCAGGTGGCAGGGGGCCTTTGGATGCTGTGGGTCTCTGGACTGAGGGAAGGCTGGGCTTCCTGCAAGGCTCTCGAGAGAACCTTACCACTTCCTGCAATGTTGCTTCTCTGGGGGGAAAGTTCCATGTTAACTTCTAGAACTTGAGATGTTCACAACCCTGAGTATGCCTGGGGGTGGGTAGAGCCTCTGTAAATACACAGATTCTCAGAGAAGTAAAATAGAGTTCAATAAAAATTATGAGGTGATGGATCAGGCACAATGCTGAAACTAGTTATAATTTCTAAATGAATACGGCGTCTCTATGAAAGGTTTAGACACTACAGAAATAACACATTTCATGTATTGACTTTTTAGAGGGGAGAAAAGTGCAAATCAATATAAGAAAGATATAGTTTGTGCTTTTATTAGAGCTACCTATTCTGAAGGCTATTCTCCCTCTGCCTCAGGGTTAGGAATTGACCCCAGGGCCTGGTTCATGATGCACACCTGCCCTACCACTGAGCTACACCACCAGCCTGCATATTCTTATGTTCAAAGACATTAGATGTTTTCGGAAAGCACATTTGGGCACACAGCATCGACACCTTAGCATAGTCCTAAAATGTACCATTCTAAGTAGACTAAATCTGCTGAAAGTGGAGTTCTCTCCATCCTGTTTCTACGGGTCAGCAGGTCTGCAGTTTGGACCACAGGCAGGAGTGTGATAAAACAGATGCCAGTAACAACTGCACAGCAAGAGGACACCTTTGACAACAAAGACGTGGCTTCACTTTGCTAATGACCGCTAAACCCCAAGACCACTTCTGTTATGATAGTCAAATGCTGGAAACTCAGAATGAAAGTGAAAATGTTTTGCAAATGAGACTCACCCCATTTCCCCCACCCCCAGCTTCTCTGGGTCCCAGGAAAGCAAACTGGCTCTAGGTGTCAGTTCTTAGAGGTAGGTGCTAATTCACCAGGAAAAGGACTGTCTTCACTTAAAACAGGAGTATCAGTTTTAAAAAACTTGCAGGCATTTGGTGCTAAATTGAAAAAAAAAAAAAGACATCAGTGTAGCCTGTAAGACTAAGTCTCTCCGGAAACTGTCACATACATTTCCTCCTAACTCTTAACATTTCCTCCTAACTCTTAAACCATGGTAGACACAGTTTTTTGTTTTTGTTTTTTAATCAAAACTTCCCAAGCACTTTTGGAAAGAACTTAAGTTGTCATGACCCACACAGGCGACAGGTATCAAGATGACAGGCTATCCATGCATCTATACATGCACCATAAGTAGGCGTTCTACTACCACTCAGGCACAGATCTAGGTGCAGGATTCTGCCTACATCCAAAGCCAGCCCCTGCTCTGTGAATCTCGCTCAGGGCAACCAACAGAGGGCCAGGGAACAAACTGAAAATAAGTTCACACTGGAGGAACGCGGTGGCATTGAGCATTGTGAAGAAAAACAAGGCAGGATGGAGACCCGGGGTGGTGCGAAAAGTTTCTATTTTAGACAGGGATTCCGCTGAGGCCTCTTGGGGGGGGCGAGGGCACCTGAGCTGTCCCCACAAAGCAGTCCTGGATCACAGAAGCCCCAGCTCACTCCAGACCCCCTGCCTGGGCCAGAGGCGCAGGTGCCCGCAGCGAGGTCCCAGCCCGGCCCGCACGCTTCCCCGCCGCTGGCCGAACTTCTCCGACTGCTGTCGCTGCGAAGGTCGCAGCAGCAAGCTCAGCGCCCCGGGGGACAGCCTCTCCCGGCCTGCCGCGACTCCCGGTCGGGCTGGCTGGACGCTATCCGGGAACGCGCGGAACTCTGGCTGCGCCCGCCGGAGAACCCCAGGCAGCGGCGCGCGTGGGGCGAGGACGCGGCCGAGACAAAGCGGCGGGGCGCGGCCCTCACCTGTCCAGCCAGAAGGTCCAGGGCGAGTGCAGCGGGACGCCGCTCGGCTCGGGCCGCAGCGCCGACAGCGGCAGGCCGAGAGGTTCGCCAGCCCCGGGGGGCGCGGCGGCCGGGGGCAGCGCCATATTCTCCGCCGGCCAGGCCGCGGACGCGCGGACCCGAGCGCCTTAGTAGTCTCCCGGCGCCAGCCCCGCCCCGCCCCGCGCCCCGCCCCGGCCGGCCTCGGCCCTGCCCCAGCCCAACAAAGGCCTGCCGGCCGGCCTGCGCCCAAAGCAGGGGACCCGAGGGAGAAGGGCAGAAGAACAGTCACCCGGCTGGCCCTGCAGCTGAGGCCAAGGACAGATGGAAGGTCCGGCCAATGGATCAGTGTGGATGGAGTCTCAGAGTCCAACAGTGCGAGGGAGGAAGGAGAGATGGATTGACATACCAGCAATCTGAAGACTGGATGGATGGGAAGGCTGGCAGATGGCTGGAGGAGGGATGCAGGGATGGAAGGGCAGATGGAAGCACAGTTGGATGTGACAGATAGATGGAGAGAGGACCAATGGCCGAACAGATAAAGAGACTCCAGTGTCTGAGAGTGCAGAAACAAGGTAGTAGACAGAGATGGAATCTGGCAGCACTGAGGCCATGGAGTATTGAAGCTTTGTATGCCTAGTGGTGAGAACAAAGTTGCCTAACTCAGTGTATTTAAGGGACCAGGGCTAGCTTCCTTCCCTCTCTGGATGTGCCCACAGAATGCCCAGCTTCCAAGAGACTCCTCAGAGTGGGCCAAAGTTCTCCTCCAGGTCTGCCTTCAAGCATGGCCGAGGAGGGGAGAGGAAGCCGCAATTCTGTACACACAGCCTACATGTGTGAAAATCCAGGAAGTCACTGTAGCCATGAGACTCCTCAGTTCATAACAAGAGGAACCCTCCAGCAAGGTTCCTCCTCAGCCTCTGTTACTCTCTTCATGAGAAAGGCAGAGGCCTGGAGGCATGCTGGCCTCCAACAGCTGGGAACATGGAGTTTTTTCTACCTGACAGCATTCATTTTGCTTTCTGCTTGAGGGAGAAGAGCTGGGAACACAAAGGGATAAGGGCTTTGTAGGTTCGTGACAGGATGTCCTGAACCCAGGACCGCTGTCTTCCCCACAGACTAGCCAAGGTAAGATAAAATGACAACAATGTGTGTGCTCTGTGATCCCTTCTTGAAATGTAACTTCCATATAGGCCAAGATTCGGGAAATGTGACTATTTGATTGAATCTTCCATCGCGGAGGTACTAGGAGCCACCTGATCAGATGCATTTGTTGTTCAATCTTTCTTTAACCTTTCAAAAAAGCACATATATGGTACTGTTAGAGCCTTTCTGAGAGCTTGTGTACCCCTTAAATAACGTGATATGGAAGGTTGTTGTAGAATACTATTTTAAGATGTGTTACTTTTGTTTATGTTTCATTTGTTTAACTCTGTGAAGCTGTGTTACTGTACCTGTCTAGAACACCTGATGGTCTAATAAAGAACTGAACGGCCAACAGAAAGGCAGGAGAAAGGATAGGCAGGGCTGGCAGGCAGAGAGAATATATAGAAGGAGAAATCTGGGAGAAGGGAGAAATCAAGGCGCCAGAGAAAGAGGAGGACATCAGGGCCAGCTGCCCAGCTACATTCACAGCAAGCCAAGGAGTAAGAGTAAGATTTACAGAAGTAAGAGAACAGGAAAAGCTCGGAGGCAAAAGATAGACAGGATAATTTAAGTTAAGGAAAGCTGGCTAGAAACTAAGCCAAGCTAAGGCCAGGCATTCATAATTAAGAATAAGCCTCCGTGTATGATTTATTTGGGAGCTGAGTGGCAGGCCCCCTCAAAAAGAGCAAAAAGAAATACAGAAGGTACTACCTCCACTTATCTTACAGATACAGGACAGAGTAGGTAGGTTAACCCCAAAGTCACATGACTAGCACATGGCAAAGCTGGGATTTGAACAGGTGTGTTGAGACTCTAGAGTTCAGGGTTTCCACTGCCAGGCTCTCCTGCCCATTTGAGTGAAAAATAAAGGTCCAGAGAGTAAAAGTAAGTCATAGAGGAGAGGTCTTTCTCCTAGAGGAAACTGCTGCTAATGGCTTTTAGAAAAATACACATCTGTGCATACAAACATACATCTTAATTTATAAACTGTATCTCCCAATCTTTTTATAGAAGAAACAGATGCACTTAATATCAACACTGCACTTCCTTTCTTATTTAACATTATGTCTCTGAACATTTTTCCATATCAAAACAAATCTACTCCCCCCCCCCAAAGGATGTCAACAGGACTCACTGTAAAGACATAGCTCCCAACAGTATGTACTTCCTAGCCATTTTCTTTTATAAGGAAGTCCACCACGGGCATCTTCATAATTACATCCTCATCTGTACAGGCTTACTTCAGGATGTTTGGGGGATGAGAACAGCTGCCTGCATTTAAAAAGCTGATACATGTTGCCAAGTTGTACAAGATAAGCACATATCCATGTATGTGAGTTATAAATAGCTCCCGACTCTGAGGACTCAGACTTACTGACATTTATCTGCCTGAATTTCTAAGGCATCAGTAGAAAGGATGGCTGCTATCTAATGATCGTAACTAGCCAAACTGTCACGGTTTGATTCTTCCTCACACTCTGTAACAATCACTCAGCCAGAAAGGTCTAGTTTTAAATTTCTATCTGCAGTTCCTATAAAATAGAAAGCCACATAAAAATTCCTTCTAGGATTTAGGATCGGAAGAAGCCTGAAAGTTTTTCTGCATTCTATATCACTCTTTTGCTTTAGCTTCTAAGGTGCTCAAAATTACATTGGTCTCAAGATTATAACACGGCTATTAGTCAATGAAGGACCGCCTCTATTTTAATATTTATTTCTACTTATATTTTAATGGCTTACTGCATCTTATGCTGTGAAGGCCTGAAACCTAGTTGGGGAGTTGGTGATACCTAAGGAGTAAAATATCAATGACCTTAGGTTAATAAAGAATTCAGGCAACATGACTAAGGCAAGGAGAGGCAACAGCGAGCACTTTCATCCCCTTCCCACCGAACACATGTTGATTCTCATTATGCTTCAAAATTATACTTCACTGAAAACAAATTAGGAGCATTTCACTTGTATTCCTCGCTTCACAAGTAGATGGCAGGAGCCAGAACCTCTGGGTAGACGGGGCACTTAGTGTTCCCCTAAACACGCACACGGCTAGAGGAAAGAGGCAACTCAAGGCCTGGAGAGGTGAGCTGACTTACCTGAGGCCTCTGCTCTAGGACATTACAAGGTGGAACTAGGAGGTGGGTCGCTGGAGGTCCAGGCCAAGGTGCTCTCTCATTGCATAACACACTGTGCAGATGCCTTGGGGTGGCAGGAGGGAGGAGAAGGTGACCCCACAGCCCCTAGCAACAAAAACAACAGAAAGGACTTGAGGCACTCATAAATAATTAAGCAATTAGCTGCAGCAGTGACTCCCCTCCCCTCCAGTATCCAGTCACCAAGGCAACTTGGGCAGGGTGCCTGCTGGTTGCCTGGTAACAGTGTGGTCTGTTCCCCTGACATGCTCCCTAGGCATCAAAGGATTTGAGAGCTACGAAGAACCTTCGGCAGGGATCAGCATTCCAACCCCTTCATTTTCCAAATGAGGAAATGGAGGCCCAGAGAAGCTGGGTAATTTGCCCAAGGTCACACAGCTACTCAGAGGCACAGCCAGGCTCCATTTCCTGTTGCTTTTCATTAGTGTACCAGGGATGCCCAGGAGGACTACAGATGAGAGAGAGGCTCTCTCTATGGTTCCTAGAAGAACAAGAGGGTCAAAGCCAGTGAGCAAGCAAGAAAAAGACAAGAGACCTTGAGTGCTCATGTGCAATTAGCAGGAGCTGGTAATCCCATCAGCCCAACTTTCATCATCACCATGGCAACATGGGTGAGGCGAGTGCTGGTTGCCTAGTAACAAGTGGTCCTCTCTCTTCCACTCATATCCGGCTCCCTGGGAGGCACAGAAACAGTAGAATGTTGGAGTTGGAAGGGAAGGAAAGGCAAGGATGCTGACTTGGTCCCATCCTTTAAACCACGAAGGATGAATGGAGAGACAGCAAGTCTACTGACATCCCCTTCATTGACACACTCTGTCACAGAACAGGAAGGTAAACCTTCTACTCCAAAGTCAGAACGTGAGTGTAAATGTCTCTAGTGGCTTCTTTGAGAGCAGACAGCTCTACCATGTGTCTACATAATGGGAATGCTACATACAAAACTCAGCACAGAGTAGATCCCGGCAGCCCGAGTCACACGTGCCAAGATCCCATTTGTGAGCAATGGCCGTCCCAAGCCATTGATCCCGCAAGCCATCATTAACCGAGAAAACGTGCACATCGCAGGGCTGTCACAAAGATGCTGCCAACGTTCCATCCAATGCATGCTTGTGTATCTGCTGTGCAAATGCCACCATCCTAGGCTCTTGAGATCACCCGTGAAACAATATAAACAAGAGAGACCCGTGTCGCAGTGACAAGGGTGTGCGCAAATATATGGCGAGATTTGTAGTCACGTGTTAAGCGTTTGTTGGATAGGTGCAGGCCCTCATTGGTAATATGCTGTTTACATTGCTGGGCTCCTCTGAGGCTTAGAAGTTTCCCGTTTACAGCTTGTGCTGCTATAAATACCCAGGTCTGCCTGTCTTCCGCCTAGGAATCCCAAAGAAAAAGGACGCATGTGGCCACTAGGTGGCGGACCCCAGATTCCCTAGACACAAGGTAAAAAAGACACAAGCCTGGGGCATAGACCTGCATAGAGCCTCCAGCAAAGCCACAGTTGCTTGGTCCTAAAACCATGGCTTTGAGGGATGGGGATGAGGGGCATGAAACTAGTCTCAGACTCCAATGGGGGGAGGGGAGGCCACAGTGTACTTTAACAGCAGTTGCTTGGCCTGGGTTTGAACTAGGCTTTAACTGCAAAGCATGGACATTAAACTTGCTGGGTCCCGTATTTCTCACCCCAGAAAAAGAGATGGTAACATGAGCTCCCTTTAGCATGAGTGCCCTCTTTTATAAGCTGCACACAGTAAAAGCTCAGCCAGGGGTACAGGGTCTGGTTCTGAGCCGCAAATGAAAAGAGGGGTACAGGAAATTGCACTGGACTTGAAGAGTGCAGT